GCGTCTTTCCTATTTCCATACAATGCAATCGAATAGCAAGTTACAACAAGCAAAGTAAGGCATTAAAACCTTGGCACTACCCCGTGATCAAAATGGTTTCCCGTCCTAGTAACACTCCTATTGCTGAAAGCGGGCAGGGGCAGTTACGAAACCTTGTGAAAACTTTCCCGTAAACCGTTGTTTTAATGTCACAAAACACAGACTTCTTTTAACAACGATATTTTATGAGGCGATGCGCTTTATTAGCATTTCAGGTTCGGTTCCTCCGTTCGGAGAAGGCAGTTCTCGAAAGCCCCGAGGCGCAGCTCGGAGCCGCGCTGAGCCGTGCGCTGGATCCGAGCACGGGGCTCCCTCCCCCACCCCGATCGCTTCCCAATTTTGGCCGGGCGGGCGCTGGGAACGATCCTTCCCAGCACAACACAGCGCTCCCCGAGCGGCCGCTGCTTCCTGCCAGCGCTGTTTCCTTTGTCTCTCATTTCTGTCTACGCCACATTTTCCAGCCGCTGCCATTTTAGAGCCGGGGCTGGGCGGGGGGAGGAGGAGGAACAAAGGCGGCAGCAGCAGCACAGCCGGCATTTTGATTCCACTCAGCCACCGCATGGCGGGGCCGGCCATTAACATCCGCTTACACAACACAAAGCCGAGCCGGCCGGCTCCTGCCGGCCATAGCCCGAGCCTTGGGAGGGGGAAGGGAGGAAGGGGAACCGCCCTGCCGAGAGCTCCCCAAGGCTTCGGCACCGCCAACCCACTGACCCACAAACCTCCAGCCCGCCCGCCGCTCTCAGCGGGGGGAATCGGGCTCTGCAGGGACCGTCCATGCTGGGGGGGCGTCCCCAGGGGGGGTGGGGGGTGAGTCTTTTTTCTCCCGAAGGGGGGAAAAAAAAAAAAAAAAAATTCCCCCACGCTGTTCTCAGCGGTCGCATACCCGTGGGGGGTCCTCTGAAGAGAAGGAACCGATACAGTCACCCACAATCGGTGGCCTAAAAAAGCCCGATGCCCTCCCCCGGCCACCCCTCGCGGCGGGAGCGCTGAGGGAAAGGCTCAGGGCCCAACCCCCGCCCCGCCGCCATCTTAAACGTCTGGAAAACAACCCCGAGAGCCCCACGGGCAGGCTCAGAGTCCGGACGCTGGCGGCGGCTGGCGCCGGCCGTGCCCCCGGACTCACCCTCTATCCCTGTCGCTGGAATACCCGGGCATGGCGATGGTGGCGGTAGGCGAGGCGATTCCGGTCACTTAGAGTGGGTGGCGATGGGTTGCACAAGATCCGGCGCCGCTGGTGGGGGCCGCTCACTGTGGGCGCCCGGCCGCGCGGACGCCGGTTATATATGAGGGCAGCGGGGGCTGCCGGGAGCCGGCGCGTGACGCACGCGCAGGCCCCACCCCCGCCGTTATGTAAGCGGCCGGAGCCAGGCCGAGGCCCCGCCCCCTTCCGCGTGGGCGTGGCCGCGGCTCGCCCGGCTGGCCGGCTTTGAGCTCGCGGCCGGAAGTGCCCCCCCCCCCCCGGGGAGCGCCCCCCACTCTCCTGGCCGCGCCTGCGCGGGGCCGCTGCGGGCGGGAGCCTCGTTCTCGCTGAGGGCATCCCGGCCTGAGGGGAACGGAAATGCAAACGGAGAATTCTCTCTTCCAGCCTCCATAAGTGCAGGCTTTCGGCCGCCCGGCGTGTTCAGAACGAAGCTCAGCTCCTCATAACGTTCGGCAGGGCAGAGCCCGACCCTCATGTCCGCAGTACTGTCCCCCAGTTCTCCCAGATCTGTCTGTGAAAATTCTCCTAAAATAGCTTGAGAGGAGCCCGGGCTTTTAACTAATAAACATTTTAACTAATAACTGATACTTCAAAGTAGATTGGCCCCTTGCCCACCTATGACTCTCATTAAGAGCCAGATATGCAGACCATGGCGAGCTGGACACAAAATAACATCAAAACTTCTCAGGCCAGTTTTTTTGTGCTGCTACCATTGCCTTTTAAAAATGTTTGTAAACATATATGTAAACAGAGTATTTATAAATATACAGCTCTAAAGTTACCCCTGTTATCTTTTTGAATTCCACACTAGGGCCAGTAACCTGAGTCAAAGGTCATCTGAGGTGCAGCAGTGCTGAAAAGCTGCTCAGAAGGCAGCAGATAAAAACATTCAATACCCCCAGTGGACGCTGCTGTTCACCCACCCGGCTTTGCCAAGCAAACGTCCGGCGTCCTGAGGCTTTACACACGTAAGAGTTGAAGTTTGAAACACAAACACCCGCAGCCACCTGCTCCAGGCAGAGAGGGAAAAAAATGAAAACAACATAAGGAAGGAGAAGTGTCGTAACAACACTTCCCATTTATATCCTCCCACCTTCTAGCAATCTGTGCTTTAAGGCTTTTCTGGGACAAAAATAACTGTATTTGATGGCCATTTCTTCACGTTTTGGTTCTATTTATGCCCTTAGCTTGTAAGATACCATGACACTGTGTTTTATAGTTTCAGTATATACAACCTGAAAAAACATTTACTTTCATTTTCAACATATTGCCAGATAAGAACGAGAGGCACAAAACAATGAGTAGAAATGGTGAGTAATAACTGTCTGTTTATTTATACTCTTTGTGGACTTTTATATCTTCTAAGTCACCTCCTTTATAAACCAAAGCTGCAATATAACTTTTCCTCCTTTTAAAGTGATTCCACACTTCTAATTCTTCTTGCCTTTTTTTTCTTTATTGACAAGAAATTCACAGCATTTAAGATCTGGACACCATACAGACCTACATAATGAAAGTATAAAGATATTTTTGATCTGTTGTGTATTATTTTCTAGCAATTTTTTTTAAATGTTGCTAAGAATAGAGCAAGGTTTGCAAAGACTACAGGTCTGCATATTATGATGCCTGAAAAGACTGACCTGGAAGAGGGACTAGGCAGAGCAAAAGGAATAAAATCAGTATTTATTGAAAGGTATTTATTGAATTTATTTATTTATTGGGCAGTACAAGAGCCTGGCTGGGGCTACACCCAAATCAAATTCAAGATGGATCCCAGTCATGAGTCTTTACACTTTTATAATTTTTAGTTCATCTACATATTTGGGTCAATTATCCACCCACAGCCCCAGGCTATGAAGTCTCAGCCCCCTGCCTTGCCCTCTTTCCCTTGCTGTTGTTTCTGCTTTTTGGGTACCAGTTGTCCTTGATTCTCTAGCTGGGAAGGGATTGTTTTGTCTAACTACTCTGTGAAGAGAACTTACTGACACTTAATATGAAGTTTCAGAGTTACACAATAAGCAGCAGAGATTTTGGAAAAATAGAAAACCTAAAACCCAAGGCATCATTGTCCTCAAAAGTAACACCTAAGTCAGGCTTATTTTGTTTATGAATAGCCACAGGTGTTCAACCTTCAGCAATTTGGAATTCCACCTTACTCAATCATTTTTTGCTGTAATAATTTTTTTCTTTCAATAGCACTCCAACTTGACTTGCTTTTTTAATACTATCCCAGTAAATTTCTAATAGAGGAATCTCTCTAGTTTTTTTCAGTATAGACTTACTTATTATGGCTTGTGAAAGATTTTTCTCCACAAACACCCCCATTAACACTCTCCACCTTCTGACCCTAGAAGCTTCCTGTTCCTGATGAATCTGAAAAAGATTTTTGCAAAGGCTGTAAAAATAACAAATTATCTTTTCTTGTTCTATTGTATTTATCTTAACACAGTTTAATTTAATTTTGTTTGTGTATAACTTCTTAGCTCCTGTTACAGTGCTGTTTAATCTTTCTAAGGTTTTAAAGAATTGAAAAGACTAAACAAAAACCCAGTCCCTGCCTTGTCTACACGCAGTTGAGTCTGCAAATAACTCCTTTTAATTTCCTTTGTAAAAAAATTTCCTCATTTTTCTGTTCCACCCTCCCAAGTTAAACATCATTGATTTTCTTGTGTTCTCTTAATTAGAGCCAGTATGTGGAAACAAATCAGCACAGCTTTGCAGAGCTGTGTACGTAGCAAACTGAAATCTACAGTTTAGTTTTGCTAGCATTGAGATCTGTGTTTGCTTACACACAACAAAAGCTCCTTTGTGTTCCTAAGGTGGTGTGTGCGCTGGGGTTTGGATCTACAAATGACACCCGTGGGCTGCTGGAGCTCATAGCACTGAGGTTTAATTGCTGCCAGTCATTGTTCTTACGGTCAAAACTGGGACCTCAGCTGCTTTTGTCCTGCTCAAGGAGTTTAATGATAAAAGGCACCATTTTTTCTTTTAACATGGAAAACCCAGAATTCCTGAGGAGCATGGGCTACTGTTGCTCAGGAAGGAAAATAACAGACTTCACCATCCAACCTGTCCAGAAAATTTTACGTTAGCAGCTAATACAGTAAGCTTCATTTCTAAATCTTATTTTTAATAAGCGTTTTAGTTCTCCTTTCATGCAGAAATGCCTGCGGGTTACCCTGTCAAACCTGTATCGTAGCAATTAACGCTAACAGTAGGTAATGGACACACCGGGCGGCAAACGGCCCTGGGTCAGCCTGCAAGGTCAAGTGCGAGAACTTTCCCCTGCTCCGCCCCAGGCCAGCCCTTTCCCCACCTATTGTACAGAGAAATCGCCAACAACCGTCTCCTGTTCAGGTGACGAAGGCGGAACCTCACGGAACAACCCTCCCTCTCCCCGGCCGCCATTTTACGCCGCCAGCCGCTTTCGGCGACCAGAGCTCCCCGGGGCCGGCCCGTGCTGCCCGGGAGCCTCGGCCCGAGCGGCGGTGGCGGCACCGGCCGGGCAGAATTGCTGGGTCGGACCGGGGAGCGGTGGGGAATGGCACGTGACCGAGGTGCGGGTCGGCTCTGGGGCTCCCTGCTCCCCATCCAAACCCCGCCTGTTCCCAGCCCCGTCACAGCGGCGAGCAGCCCGCCCCGCTCGGCTCCCGTAACACCGGCCGTGACCGACACCACCGGACACCACCGCGCGCCGCCCCGCCCCTTCCTGCGGCGCCTGCCCAATGGGCGCGCAGGCCGCGGTTTAAATGGCGGGGGCGGGCCTGGCTCGTTGGTACCGCCATGGGCAGCGCTGAGGGCGCAGGTAGGGCCGGGCCCCAGCGAGCCGCGCTCGGAGCCCTCCGGGGCCCGGCCCTGCGGGGCCGAGTGAAGCGGGTCCCGCTCCCGGAGCAGTGACCGGCCTGGGGCCCGATGAGCCGAGCCGGACAGCTTCCTTCTCCCTCATCACCCCCCCCACTGCTCGCATCGCTCTCACCGTTTTGTTCTGTGTGTTACGGCTTTTCGAGCTTTTTGCGTTAACTTCCCTCTTCCCCTCCTTTGTCTTTGTATCTTTTTTGGCGACACTTTTAACTTAATAAAGCTACAGACGAACAGCAATTCAAGTGTTCCAAGACAGCCTGAAATGTAGGAGATGCTACTTTAACCTTTCACGCATCCGAAACTTAAAGTGATGTCTGGAACTGATGGAGGAGTAAAGGGATCGAAAGTAACACACTTGTGTACTGAAAACTGTACAACTTAGTTTCTGTTGTAGTAATTCTATGCCTTTTCCAGTAAATTAAAGTTCTTAATAATTGTCAAAATATGTGGCCTTCAAAGCACTTTGATCTCAGGACTCAAAGCTGGGGGAAGATCAGGGTGTTTAATGCACATCTCATTGTGCTCAATAGAGCACTTGGCAGCACCACCTCTGTATTCTTCTAATCCTTAAAAAAATTAATTAAAGTAGAATTTACTTTTCATGAGGAGTATTTACATTAGCAGTGATGTCATTGTCTGACTATTAGAGAACCTGGGTTTGTAAGAGAAGCTCACGTTTTCCAAAAAAAGTACCTGTCCTTTCTGATCATTGATAAATGGTGTATCCAAGCTTGGCTTGTTAAGGTCCTGAAAGTTTGGAGTTCCTGGCTATGAGACCAGATTCAAATTTGGTTTTTGTTACATGGAAAAAAAATTAACCTGCCCAGCCTGTGGTACTTCAGTGCTTTGCACCTCCCAAGTCCAGTTTGGCTATGATTGCACTTGAACAATGTTTAATATTCTGGGTGGATGGGACATTCTCCTGGGTTTGTCCACCTCTGGTAGAGTCAGAGACACAGTGGTTACCTTTCACTGTAAATAATCTTGTCTTTATTTTTGTGTCTTTCAGTTCTCACATTATTGTTTTTCTTCTAAACAGATTGGGTTGATGTTGCCAATGATCTCTTAAGGACCTGTCACATAAACCAGCACATAAACAATCTGTCAGAATGTAGTGCTGACGTGTTTGTTCGTCTTTATGAGTCAATCTTAGGAGAAAAAGTACCAGGTAGGAATGAGAATTGCTAAAAACGTGTTTTATTTTTGTCTCTGTGTATTTTGTTGCTAAATAAAATTAAAACTTGTAGAGCTTCTACAGATGTAGGGATTTAAAGTATTTATGTCTTTCCAAAGACAAAAATATAAGATTGTCATTCTTTAAGAAGATGTAAGTAACATTAGTCAATTTTCTTTTAACTTTGGACTATGAATGGCAGCTATGAGGATAACCACAATAAAATTTCTGTAAATTAGGCCTTGAAGGCCGTCTGTGGGCATAATACTTTTGAAGGGTGTGAACTGGCTCATTTTATCTTACAGCAGTGTAACACTGAAAGTCTGCTCTCATAAAATGCTTCATACTTAGAGTCTGCTAAGAGCTGAGCTGTGATTTAACCCTATTTTAATCCATCTCCACTGGACTTCAGTGACAACAACTAAGCAAAAGCTATACAATTATGTATTTGCTTTGTTTATAAACTGTTATGTGTAAGAAGTGTCAGACTGCCAATTGCAGAAGATTTTAAGGGCACTGAGATAACTGGCACCTATTGAAGGTAGAAGTCCTGTTAAATGTAAGTGCAGAACTAAAAATAATGTTCCCAGTTAAGTAGAATACATTGCAGTGCAATAAGTGTGTGACAGGGAAGGAAGAAGCCCTAACACAAACTGCAATTCCAGTTTAATCTGAACTAGGTGTGTCTGCTGGGAGTGAAGGAGGAGAAATGCTTTAGTAGTCTCTGTTCTTGAATTTAATCCTGATAAAACCCTCACATCTTCCAAGGGGTGTTCTAAGTTTGTGCTCGGTATTTATAAAAGATTTTGTAGGACCATACGGTATTTGGGCTTTTCACCAAGGACACAAGGTACTGAAAAGATACTAACTTGTAAGCAGAAGTTGTTTCATTAAGGTGCTTGCAACAAACTATCCACTTAAGTAGCCTGAAATCTATTATTTATTTTAAATAGATTTCATTGCTACTCCCAGAAGCCAAGAGGATGATGCCCATAATGTACAAGCAGTAATAGATTCCCTGGCATTGGATTATTTGCAGGTCAGCTTGTCTCACATCACAGGTAAGTACTTGGTTTAGTAAGACAAGCAAAGCTGCAAAGACAAATCTGTGCAGTTCAATTTCATTGTTTTAAGAACCAGGTGTTACACAGCCTGCTTTCATACTTGCATGGAATATCTTCTTATGGTAGTGGATGTCATCAGAACACTGACCCATTGCCTTGCACATCAGGTTATAAATTGAAACAGCAAGCAGAGAATAAATAATAGAAAAAGAAATGTTAAAGTTAACATCTGGCCATCCTTTATTTGGCTGCCAGAATGTTACTGAAATCTGTTACTGGCTCAGGCTTGGCCACTGGGTTTTAAGACATGACCCTGGAGTTTCAAACTTGTTATTATATTTCTAAAAGTTGGTGAGTAAAGAGTTGAACTTTGTTGTGTTATCTGTACATAGATAATGGCCTTCCCTGAGTATTCCTGTGTTTGGTCTCACACAACATAACCTGCAAAGAATGAAAACTGCTTGATAAGTATCTCTGACTTGGTGCTTGTACACAGTGGCTGGTGTTTGCAATTCTGCTGCCACTCCATAAATTGCTTCATGCTATAGTTTTATGTATAAGAAAAATATCAAATACCAATTGTCCCTGAAAATATCCCAGAATACTTTTGAGTGTGAAAGCAGTTACTGCATCAATAAACTTTGACTTATTAGAACTGAAAATATGCAAATTTAGAACACTTAAAGTATACTTTAAGTTTAGCTACATAGCCATAAATAAGTGACCAGGTGTCTTCTGAGCTGACACCTTTACATGAATTTCCAAGCAGTCTTCTATAGAAAACACCTGCTTTTGAGAATTTTTCTTCTGTGAAGTACTAATCAATAATATGTGTCATTGCCTTCTCTTAAGGTGAGAATATTGTGAAAGGAGACAGGGAATCTATCAAAAACCTCCTGGAAATATTTGATGGTTTGTTAGAGTATCTCAAAGAAGTCAGTGAAGCTTCTTCTCAGACTGGAGGTGAGATGTAAACCCAAAGTGTTTCCAATGTAGCAAGGATTTATTTGGTGGGGTTTTTTTTCTTACTTATAACCTTGACAATGGAGAAAAGAGAAGGACAAAACTGACCTTGAGGGAGGAAATTGCAGGGGTGAAGCTGAATATTTGCATTCCTTCTTTTTGTAAACAGTAATAAAATAGATAATTTCCCCTCAAACTTACATAATCCTTCTGTTTCATTCTTGTGGCAGAAACCTACTGTAGACAATTCATCCTTTGTTAGTTGCTTTTCAACGTGTAACTCAGATGATTTAGGATTAGGATTCAAGGAGGGAAATGTTGGCTCTAATTGGAACAACGAGCAAATGTCCCTTTTACTTACTAGGAGATAAGGGGGAGGACAGCCCTTCCTGGGAAGTGTCTTGGGAGTAGGTCTCTAGCAGGGGTTATTTTGAGGAAGTTGGGAAGAGAAGCTGCTCAGCCCTGCAGAGGCATCTTCCTGCAGGCAGTACTGGTCTTCCTATCTCAGAGCTGATAAGAGTTGTCACCACTGGCTGTTGCAATCTGTGATTAAGGGAAGAGCACTTGGTACCTGAGTTCCCTGCTGGCCTGTTGCAGAGTGGACAGAAGAAAGAGGGCAGTAGGAATGTTCAGTGCCTGTACTGCTTTTCCCTTCCCTCAGACTGCCAGTCTTGTTACCCAGGGGGGTTAGTGGTTCAAATTTTCTAACTGTTAAGTCCACAGTTTAATTGTTTTGAGGAAGAAGAAAGGTTTGTTAATAACTGGAACAAGGGGATATATGGTAGTGGTATAATTTTTCAAAATTTACCATAAAAGTTGCCCCACCTCCCCTCCCCTTGTGGGGAACATTGCATGTCATCATTTTTAGATAAAACACTACAATGTTGATATTACACATCAACTGTTTTGATAATATTGGAAGTAGTACCTGTTAGTTTATAGGTAGAACTAGTTTTCCTGAAAATAATTACCTCTTGGTTATTAACAGCTGAAATAAATGTGCTGTCCAGTGATAAAATTCAAAATGCATCTCAAGAGCAGCTGGAAAACACTGCTGGTCAACTTACAGAACATACACTAATGCCATCAGTTGAAAGGTAAGAACAATTCTGAATATTTGCTTTCACATAGTGATTGACTGTCTTTGTGTAACTGTAAAGAAATCAGTAGGTTTTTTATAGCATAGACACCTACTGATTACATATGCCACAATGAATGTGAGGTGACTCCTGATTGGGCTAAAATTACATCTGGGACTTCTTTTGCCCTTGAAGAGTTGCTGATTTTGTTTCCCTTAAGTTTACTTTTTATGTGGAATGAAACAACTTGAAAACTTTGATCAGTTTTAAAGATTGATTTTAAAGTATTTTAAAGACTGATTTGTTAAGCTGAGTTCAGTTTGTGGCTGTGACTCCTGCTCTGCTTTGCTCTGTGGCAGCAGGGCCGTGCCCTGCACGGCTCCTCGGCAGCTCCATCTCGTGGGCTGAATGGGCAGAGGTTGAGAGAGGAAATATTTGATGGCTTTATGTTCCCCTTAGGTCCCAGTCAGAATATTTTATTCTAACTTGTGATACAGATGGCTCAGAATCTACCAGTGAATTAATTAAACTTGGAGATACTGCTTATTCATTTTCCAAGAGAGGGGAAGGTGAGTTTGGGTGAGGAAAACATTTTAAGACTCATCTGTTGTAAGACTTCTAGGCTTTGTTTCTTTTTAAAAAGTTACTTCTTTCAGATAAATACTCTTTTAAATCTTTGTTTTTAAAACCCCAGACAACCCACAATAAGCAAATTCATCTTGCTGAAGTTAACATTTCTGGAAGTAAATATTCCAGGCATTATTTTTCATGACTCCTGCACTACCTTCTTTGGATAAAGGTTTGTTGTTTGAGTTCTAATTCAGTTCTACAAAAGCATTTTATCTTGTTCAGTAGAATAGGGGAATTCTGAAGACTTTGTTACATTTGTTGCAGTGTAAGATCAATTATTTAAGACTGTAAAAAGATTAATAAGTTCATTCTTAAAGAAGACTGGTTAGGAGTGTGTACCCCTTCAAAACTTCATGGATGACTCTAAAACGGGTCATGTGCAGATGACTCAAATGGAGCTCATTCTTATTTCCAATTTTTCTGTAAGAATATTCCAATTCTTCCTATTCTTATTGGATGATTTTTCATCTCCTCAAGTAGAGGCATAAAGAAATATTATGAATTATGAACATTTCATTGACTGGAATTACAAATAAGAATTTAACAGACCTATTTTGAGCTTAGTATGGATTGTTGACACCAAGCAGTTAGCAGAATTAAAATTGTCCATCTCAACAGTTCATAGCAAGATGCTTAATAGAGCTTTTAAAAATCTTTTTAAACATCCACTTCTAGAATTTCAGATGCCTGAACTGTGTCTAGCAGAAAAGGACAAGGGGGTAGAAGAACCTGAAAACTCAGAGGCTCTTGCAGCATTGCCCCAACAGTTCTCAGAAAGTGAAAGGGGGATTGGAAAGGAAAGGGAAGATGGTGAGTATTGATTCTTCTGACAGCTCATCCACCTGATTTTGATTTAGGGGTGTAGGGAAGCTAGGGTAGTGTGGAGGAGAGCTTTAGTCATGAATGGACTTTAGTCATGTTTTAAAATAAATTGTTTTCAGAAATGTGATATTTTAGTCTCTCAGAGTAGGCAAACGTTCATTATCTGGGGTATTTCTGCTTAGCTAGGATTTGGCTTCAGCTAGGCTGTTTTTAATTTGTATTACGGTTTGTATTCTTTCCTTTTGTGGTTCAAAACACTAAAAAGTCCTTCTGGAAGATCCTCACATCCAAAATCATGTTCTCAAGGCTGAAAAATGTTTCAGCACTGTCCTATGCAATCCAGCAAAGGTGACAGCTCACGTTAGCTATTGAGACACTTCCCTTTATTACAGACACACAATGCACAAAACGTGTTCTGCTTTCCCAGATAACACTTCAAGTTCTTTGTATTTGCCTCCTCAGGAATGATGGAGTCTGTTCATGCTGCTGAACCCCACAAAGGGAGTCAGAGTGCCAGTGCTACAAAACTGGGGGAGCCTATCCAGCAGGCAATTCCTCTGCTGCCCCCATTCCAGCCCTCAGATCCAGGATGGAGAGATTACCACAGCTCAGACAGACAGGCAGCAGCTCTGGCTTGCAGTCAAGCAGTGAACATTCCTCCTGTAAGGAAAAGCCTACTCTTTGATTATTTCATTTTCTTTTATTAACCAATACTGCTTTCATTTGAAAACCTCCTAGTTTACTTGCAGAATGGGAGTAGCTGGTCCCTGAAGAACACTTTTGAATGTGTCAGAGTTTATCTTAGTTCCAGGAATTTTGGATTGTGGATTCATTCCTCACTAAGTGTCCAGAGAGGAATTTAGTTTGAGGAGTGTGTTTATTTTATACATACATACATACATACACATCTCCACAGTCAATGCAACTGCACAATTTACAGTATAGTAAACAAAAGAATTATAGTGATTTTTATCTATCTATAAAATCAGCATTGATTTCCATTGCAGACCATGTAATGTATGATCTTCCTGTCAGCACTCTCTGTGAATTTAATAGAACACATCTTGCTTTTAATTTCAGATTGAAAAGTCACTTACCCCAAAATCTGATGATATTTCTGATGGTCTTCCTCTATCAAGACAGATCCCTGGTGAGAGAAAATTTTGCATCCTCTAGGGTAACTCTTAAGAGTTATAATGTTGCATTTATTTTTACTGGCACCACAAGAAATATTATTTTGCATTTTTTGAAATTCAGCCACAAGTTCATATTTCTATCTCTGCTTTACAGAGAAACAAAAATAGGTTACTTTTAATCTGTTCCCTCTACTGGAAAAAAAGTAAGCCATGTCCCCAATTCAACTCCTTTCTTAGTTAATCCCGTTAAGATGGGCCTATACCACAGAAATCTCCTCCAGCAGATAAATCCCATGGCTGAGCTTATTCTGAGCAGAGAAACATGGACCCAAACAAGCCAGTTTCAATTCTAAGAACAAGCCATTAACTATTACAGAAAAGGTTTAGAAGCTATTTTTTTCAGTACTCATTTTCTCTGTTGCCTTGGAAACACTGCTTACCTTTTTTAGTTTCCATAGCATTCCCATGACATGGAACATTGAAGACTGGAGAAATTACCAAAATGAATGTCACAACTGGGTAACCACAGTTGCTTTGTCATTCTATTCTCTGAATAATTTGAATCCACAGGCCCAGTTCACATCTCTTTTCCCTTGTTGCCCACATTAGTAGGCAGAGTGCCATTAACTCACACTTACCTGTCATCTGCTTCTGCAGTGGGAAAAATGCTGGGAGATGATGCTGAGGACAATGTGACAAAGGTACATGTTGCATCTTTATTTTTGGGATTTCAATCAATATTTTTTGATTTTTTGCTTAATTTGTCTACTATCTTGTGGTGCTTCTGGGCATATTTCAAACCTGCTTTAGACTTTCTTTCCCTAATATCCAATCAGTGATGCAGTGTTGTTAGACTGTCATTATGTGCAGTCTGTGAGTCATGTCAGTTCTTAGTTCTTCCTGGAGTTGTTTGCTCCAAAATGTACAGAGCCAGCACCCACAGAGTTCTATTTATCACAACCAAGCAGTTACTGGTTATCTTGCTTTTTAATCAAAAATGTACAAAGCACAAGAGTACAGTCATGTCCTTTCTCTGAAGTGTATCAGCATTTTAAAGTAGTAAGAATTTTGGGGGTTTTGGCCAATAAAACTTAATTTACTCCTTTTTAAAGATCCATGAACTGCTTATTATATTCTCTTATTTTCTTGCACTGTCTTTTGCTTTTCAAAAACTGAATAAAAAAACCTGCAAACTGATCAGCAGTTACCAATCTGTGCCCATAGAAATGTGTCTGTAAAGGAAGTTTCTTTCTCTGGAAACACAATTCTGCCTTCTGCAGCCACAAGAGGTACTCACAGACTTTGCTTGTTCCAATAGTTTAAACAGCTTTTACATCTACATTGTCTCTGAGACTCATTTTCCATTGGTGCATTTCCCAGTATGTCCATGCCAAGCCCAAGTTACTCCAGTTTGAACAGAGAAGTTACCAGGCAGAACTAAACCAGTGCAGCTCAATGGCACAAGGACAGGAGTGTTCTCTTTTGGCTCACTGTGAGCTGCAGCTCAGTCTGTACTAAGGGAAATTCAGCTTATTTCCACTACCTGGAATCAGTCCCAGGCTGATGAGGTGGAATGTGGAGATAGTCAGTCATTACCTTAGCCTAGACCCTGTTCTGGTTCAGTGGTAGAGCTGTAAACTAATCTTCCATATTTTTGCTAGTCCATTTCTTTAAACATTAGTTCTCTAAAGCACACTATCTGCAGTCAGTAGCCTGGAAATACAATTATTTTTATATATCTATACTCACAGGATTTGGGATGGTTCTATTACAGCATCTCTACTCACATGATCTATAAAGCCTTCATTTACTCATTTTTTCTAGGTGCCTCAGGTATGTGAGTCTGCTGTATCTGCCTCCTCTTCTGAGGAAAAGCTCTCACTACTACTTGGTGAACAAGTAACACAAATCCCAAGACCTGAATCTCAACACTGGCCTAGAACAACAAGGCAAGTTCAGATTTTTGGTACTGAACCACACTGGCACTTTGATTTCCATGGCCAGCCAGTCCCCACCTCCCTTTTTGAGTAAGATCTCTCTTTCCTTGGCTGTGTGACAGTGAAAGATTAATTCTAAAAGAAAGATTTCCTGTTTCTCCTGATATACTCATTTTGTTAAATACGATTTTAGGTGTTTACACATTCTGCTTTACTTAATCTATGAAAATGTGCTTAGGCAAAAAGTGAACTAGAATTGTGTGAGATAATGCTCATTGTCAGGTTTTTGGAACAGAAATGAAATCTGTCTGTTTTCTGCTTTAGCAAATATGAAAATTCCACCACAGATTCAGTTGAAGATTCACTTTCCCACAGAACAGCAGAGAAGACGCCTCAGCAAGAGTTTCGTGAAGCATCAGAAAATCTGTCCCGCAGGCTGAATGAACTGGATTTAGTAAGTGCAGTCTCTGCTTTGTTGAGCTGAGCAATGCAGCTTTAGTAATGACAGTGGAGAAAATATCAGTGCAATACGGATAAAAAGGAAATCTGCAACACCTGGCTTTGGTTCATTTAAACTTTAGAAATGTCTATTGAACCTGACCCCCACAAAAATCTATCCCTTAGATGTTGAAGAGAGCTTTGGGTGAGCACACAAGAGAAGAGGAGCTGAGAGATGAGGACAGCCTGTCCCAGCACAGTGACAGTGTCATGGACTATGGCCGAAGGACAGCTGGCAGAGGTAACAATCCTTGTGCTGGTATTGGGATGGAAACAAATATAAAATAAACCTTTTCATGTAAAGCTTCTACACTCAGTTAGTTACTAAATTTTATATTGCTAGTTCAGGTCTGTTTTGTCTTTGATCCAAACCTGAGCTACAGTAACAGAATTGCAACCAAGTTTCTGTTTAACACTTAAAAAAATGTGCTAAAACTTTGCAAAAAAAACCCCAAAAAACAAGGCAAACACAGCTACAGTAAAAAAATGTATAGAAAGTGAAGGGAGGGACAGAATACGAGCTCACAGGACTCGTTCTGAAATGAGGGCCTAGTCACAACACAATTCACTGGGTTTTTTTTGTCTCAAATTAGATACTCAGTGAATGATCTTTCCCTACAGATACATCGTGTCCAAGCTACCCAGGCAGGCCACGATCCCTCTCTCCAGCCTCACCCTCATCTCAGCAGCAGCACCATGAACTGCGTGGTACTGAAACAGGCCAGACAAAGACAATTCGCAGCCACCTGCAGGAAGAAAGGGATGAAAGAACAAGAAAAGCAAAGGTAGTTTTTAGATTGGACCTTGTGGTAATTCTTACCAACAGTTACACTAAAACCACAAAACCAGAACACTTTTATGTAATGGGGGCATCTGGTCTCCTTTAGTAATCATATGCTGTTTTATCTGTAGCCTGCTGAGGAAGAGACTTAAACCCCAAATTTTACAAAAAAGAGTTTAAAGTGGAAGAAGCTATTTTGACCCATGCAGCAAACAAATGAACAAGGTGGCTGTATGGACTGATTACTTCCTCTGACAAGTCCTTTTATTCTTGTTTTCTAGCTGGTCACTAAAGCTTATGAAAATGAGCTAAGAATTTTTGAAGCAAGGGAGAAGCATAGAATTTCCAAGCTCAGAGAAGCTGCCAAGGAAGTGGTAGGTGATGCACTGTTGAGATTGATGGTTGTGTTTTGTTTGGTTGATTTTTTTCTTTTTAAATTTTTCTAGATAGACTGTCCAGACACTTTTGGGTACAAAACCTACTTGACTTCCAGTGTCATAGTTACAACACTGTACAACTGAAGTAGTAACTTACTAATGTTAAGTGCTGCAGAAGAGCTGAGGTTATGCAGTAATGAGATATAACCTTTATTTGAACCCTGACCTGTATTTTGTAAATTCTGGCTTTCTGGAGAATCCAATACAATATGTCCAAGTTCTCATTCTAAAGTCTGAAAGACATTTAAGTTCTAATGGCCAAACTGTGTTCTATCAGTGTTTCCCTTCTCATACCTGTTCTTCATCTATTTTACATCTGCTACTAAGGAACAAGAGTACAAAGAAAACATCTTTCAAGAACATCCAAAAGTGTCTCGGCCAGTGAAAGTTTATTCTAGAAAAACCACACCTCAGTATTCCAAATACAGCCAGTGGATTCCAAAACGAGGGATCATGAAGCCAAAGCAAGCAGCTCCAAGTAAGAACTGCAAAACTATACTTGGTGGAAAACTGGCATCTTTTGAAAGCATGTATTGAACTCCAAGAATAAAGGCACCAGTCCAACATATACCAGTCAGCTGTAGATTTTTCCCTTCTTCTGACCTCTATATGTCTGGATTTTTGTTAGGGAGGATAATGCTTTAAGTAAATGTAAACCATCCGTGCACAATCAAATTGTGACCCATTCGCTACTTCCTTAAAATCCCTTGGATTATTTTCAGGGCTTTTTTCCATTGCTGCTACCTCTGTGCTTATTCCACTACAGTCTGAGCTTTCCTTTTGTTATTTTTCTGAGCATGTGTCAGATTTAAAATTGGGCCTGTGGCTTGAGCTGAGCCACATACAGGTCACAGAGCAGAATCTGTCAGGACTCTGTCACTGTGCTGTTAAGGCTGCCACTGGTTCTGCTAAGCAAGTGATGCTCCAAGAAAGCCAAGCTGCAAATCCTATGCCCAGTTTTGATAACCAGCACTGTGCATGCCTATGGACAGGATCACCAGATAATCCCCTACATATCTGGATTTTGCTTAGATACACTGCCTCATTTTTTTCCCAGTTTTTGGAGGCCATATACTTGGTAAATACCCTTTTGTTTCATCTCCCCATCATCTTTTCCTGACAGAAAGATCAAAGATGTAATGGGAATGAGCTGGTTGCAAACCAGTTTATTTTGCATCTGTTTACTTGACCTGGATCTGTCATTGCTACTGCTGGCTTTATTTTAAGTAACTGCAACCAGAGAGAGAGAGCAAGCAATCACTGATTAGTGATGGTCATAACCACATGAAAAAAGAAGGGGATGCCTGTCTTAGCTGGATGTGGTGGTGATAGGGAAAAGACATCTGAGCTAAAAAATCAATTCTTCAGAGAAAACAACAAAAGACTGGGATTGCTTTCTCTGTTGCTGTACTGGCAGGATGATATGTCCTGCTGGGCTTAGCTTGGCATGGTAACAGCAGCATGGTCATTTTGTACAGTGTTCAATGTAAAGTATTTTGTGACTTAGGCTGACACTGTCTGGATGAATTTACAACTCAAAGTATTCTCCAAGAATTTATTGCTTATTGCTCTTTCTTTATCTTACAGTGACAATAAGAGACAATGACCTCCTCTTGCAGCTCCTGGAGGAGTTTCCCCACCTGCACATTTCCCCCCGTACTCTGAATAAAATGTGGCAGCAGCAGCTTGCACACACTCTGCACCTCAAGGCACCCTCTGCCAGACCTAGACCAAAACTCCAGAATGAAGTGAGTGTTCTCATTCTTACCTGCTGAATGTCAGACTTATCCTGACAGGGCACCTGCACACCCACAGCACAACATGGAAGGATGTCCTGGGAGTTTGGTTAAATAGGGATGTACAGATTTATATACATAGGTTCAACTTTTCATCAGTTGCTTGAATATTATGGTCTTCCTTTTATACTGATTTCTCAAGTACTGCCTAGGGTTGCTATTGCCTTTTTTAAAAGCATTTTATAGTTTCCACTGCCAATTCTGAACAGTATTTTAGTTTAAAAGTGAGTTATGAGATGCAGAAGTTTATTAACTTATACAAGGCATCTCTCAACCCAAACCCCAAAACATAGCAGAGGGGCAATATTTAAACCTGCTACATAGGACAGCTTGTCCTGCAGCATGATGCCTTTTTTTTTTAAACCTCCAGATTGAACAAGCCTTGAAGAAACAGGAACTGCTTGCTGCAATTATTAAGAGAGATCAAGATCACAGCAAGAGACTGGTATGTTCTTTGAAGACTATTTGTTACCTAATATAGAGATTTCACATGGAGCTATCTAGAATGCATATTCCCAGATCATGAAAGTGGCTTTTTGTCTTATGGCAAATTTATGCTTTTTGAGTAGCTGTGGTCTCAAAATGCCACATAATCTGTTTGTTGTGCAGCTGCTGGGGTCGTGGGAATGGAATATTATTATTATCATTATTATTATCATTACACTGCACTGTTGCTCTAAAAGATAAAACAAATTCTAAAAAAGTGCAAGGAGGAGAAACCTGAGGTTGTGTTGCAGCTCCCACGACAGTGCTGACTCCTCAATTCTATAGTGACACGACTTTGCTACCAGTGGTGCCTAATGCTTTCAACCTAACTGCAAAGCTGGGCTGTGGAGAAGGTCCTTAGTAAAGGACCCCAATTAGCAATGATTAACAAAGCTTTGCCTGCAGGGGTATCTGTTGGCAGTTTGGTGGGCTGACAGCTGCTGCTCTCCCTTTAGCAAGACATCAAGCAGCGCATCTCCCGGCAGAGGTGGGCTCAGAACAAGGTGACAGAGAAGAAGCAGCAGGTGGCCCGGGCCAGGAAATACTACGAGGATTACAGGGCCCAGCTCCGGGCTAAGCTGCTGAGGGCAAGGACACGGGAGGAGAAGGTGAGGACGAGGGGTCTTGCTCTGCAAGGGTGAATTCTTTCCTGTCAGGACTCCAGTGCTGAGGTCTGGTACTTCAATGCTGCAAGTGCAGTGACCAGAGCACAGAGCCAGGATGAAGTGGTTGATTAGTCAAGGCCACAGATGAAACTGTTCCTTCTCTGGAAATGTGGATCCAGTACAGGGCAAACCACTGTGAAACAAGAAAGGATGATTTATGGGGCTAAGAGGAGAAAAAGGGTGAAGTATCAGTGTGGAAAAACAGGGCTGGTAACATGAGAAATTGGGGAAATGAGTTTTCAGAAACAGTAGGATTAAGAAGTTGTTCCTACAGTCACCATCCAAACAAAACAATCTAAATCTTCAGTTGAGGGAACTGATCAAAAAGGCAGCTTCGTTGTTCAGTTGTGTTTGTTAAACAGAGCAGACTTTGTGACAGATAGGATCTAATTAGGGCTGGACATGAGAGTGAGGCAAAGCAAGGAGGGTTATTACACTCTGCAAGAGTAGATACACAGTTGTCACCTTTCAAAATAAAAGACTAGAAGTTTACTGCATAATCCAGTGGTAGGGATTTGAGAACTGTTTGCCTTAAGCTGTGAGTTACAGCTGCTAAGTGTTCTTGTGGAGGAATGGAAAGCCTGAGTCCAGGCTGGATTTCCTGCTGCTGGAAACCTGGATGAAGGTCCTGAAGTCAGACTGCAGAGTACAGGGTAGGTTGTAAATCACAGTGCATGTTCAAAGGCCCTGGCTTGCACAGTTGGGTCATCTGACTAAACTGACATGAAAAACTATTTTATCTATCAAAATTTCAGCTAAATGAGTAATACAAATCCAGCTCAGCTGTATCTGCACCACCATTTCTAGGTACAGAGTTGTGCTTTTTCATGGGCTACAGCCTATCCTCATGTAAACACCATTCCATCAGGAGATAAAGCAGTTGAGAAATGTAAATGCATACTTATAAGTTCCCGGGAAAGTTTCAGGTTTGCTTTTGTTAATTGCTGGCAGATATTTAAAAACTTATTTGAAGAAGGCTTAGAAATTCAGAAGCAAAGACTGAGGGACCTGAGAGTTTATGCTCAAGAGAAGCGCGATGAGCAACGGAGAGAGCACCAGATGGAGCTGGAATCTCTGGAGAACTACTACAAAGATCAGGTAAAGCTTCATGTGGATCAGGCAGATCATATTTTTCCACTTAGAAGTCTTTCTTTAATTAGTTCAACTCACACACATGTTTTGTTTAGTTTTCCATGCTAGCAGAAGTTATAGCTCAAGAATTCCAAGAAATCCAAACCAGAGAGAAAGCACAAGCACAAGTAAGTATCCTTAATATTTTCCAATTGCCTTTTCTTTTTACATGCTGTGGCTAATGTCAGTATTTTCTTTAGATGCTACAGAAAACAAAAAGAGAACTGAGATCAAAGATGGAAAAGGAAATACAGCAACTTCAAGCAGCAATCATGCACAGTGATGATGACACCTTTTTTCAAGAACTAGAAGCAGACAGACTGAGATCCAGACTTCAGATGGCTTCTTTCCAGTACAGCCAAAGCCACTTCTTCTAAGACTTGGGTAAATGTCACTGCAATCCTCTCTGGCTAAGATGATCAGAGTCTTTGAGAGCTGCTATAATGGGAAGATGGTGTGAGGTTGTTTTTCTCTCTAAAATATCTCTTCTGTCATTTTGACCTGTCAGGGGTATAGCTGCTGGGATCTGAGATCTCCACAGCACTTTTAAGATCACCAATAAAGTTTCTGAACTACTTTTTACCTTCCTAGCAAGGCTGGAGTAATGTTGGACTCTACCCAGAGGATATTGGGATGAAGTCAGAGTGCTTTAGTGAAGTTTTCCTGGTGGTACAGTTGGATGCTGAGGCTCCTCTGCATCTGTGCTGGGGCTGTTGCTGCTAAGCCAATCTAACACCATTAGCCAGAAATCATGGATTGGAAAGATCACAAAGCACAAGAAGATCTTCAAAAGAACATCAGAGGTTCAGGTTTCCTATGAAAGGCTAAGTTAGAGAATGCCTGCAATAAACCTGACATAAATAACTGGGAATTTAAATATATTAAGCAAGGGGAGACTACTTCCACTCCTCCTTTGGTTGTGTTTGCAGTGTTGGTGTTGCTGGCTTGATAAAATATGAAGGCATATAAAATACTCTTTCTGTGCTACAACTGCACTGGGGAAAGTAATTTGAAATAGAAAACAATGCAGATTCTTCTAAAGCTGTACATGATAAGCTGCTGCAAGAGGTGAAGCCTGGGAAGGACAGCATTCCTAATATTCCACAGGGCCACACTCACAGGTGCAGCCTGATCACTCCATTTTCACACTCACAGAAACAGAATTAAAGAATGATGAAATATTTCACCAGTCAGCTTTTACCTTACCTCAGGTTGTAAGGTCTGCTTCCAGGCAGAGCAGGACACTGCACCTACTGTAGCATCTCCCAGTGCTGTAAATAATGCAGGGCCCTGCAGGAGATCCAGGCTTCACCTGCCAAACACTGTGCAGGTGCCAACAGAGGGATGAGGACTTAAACTGAGAACAATTACATAAAACCAAGCTGGCACTAATGAAGTCTATTACTGATACAGTCTCCTCTGCCTGACAAAAGGGCAACTCTAAATTAGTTTATCTTGGTAGTAGAAGAGTTCTTGCTGTGTGAGAAGTGATACAGGAATACTAGATTTAACTGCACTGTACATACAATATTTAAAAGTTGCCATTAGGGGACTCTGATGGACCTGACAACATACAAAGAATTCACACTCATGCACTGAAAAGAGCTAAACAGGAAAAAACAGCCCCCACTGTCTGAAGGAGCTTCTTTTACAGCTGAAACAAACCAGCCAGGTGTTACAATGTAAGATACCTCACTGCAAAAATACAGACTCAAAAAACACACCAAAACCTCTACAAAACCAGAAACACAAACCCCTGACCTAGCCAAACCTTTTCAGGGAGTTGCTGTAAGCCTGGCTAAGTTGAAGACTTTAAGGGACAATATTTATCAGCTAAGTTGATGAATTTATCAAGTCTTTACCAAATTTGCCTTTATTTCCCTCAAGGAAGATGGTGTAGCTTTGCTGAGTTTTGAGAGGAGACATCTGTTCCCCAGTGCTGAGATAAAATCCTTGCCAAGACACGCCAGTACCTGAGAGCCAGAAGTAAAACCTGCTGTGTTTGACTAGAACATTCAGCACACTCCTCACTGTAGGTAGCAGCATGTAGGAAGTCACCAAGTTTCAAGTATTTTCTCCTGAAACAAAGTCGAGTTACTTAAAAATGACATTGTTGCATTTTAAAGATTTAATTAAGAAAAAACTTAAAACTTTTAAAACCATTGATGCTGTGACAGTGCAAACAGCATACAATTTATTGCTCAACTTCTGCATGGGTACATACATTAAGTACTTAAAAACCATTTTATACAGATTTTTTTGTTGTTGTTAAAGCTCATGTAACAGCTGGGTGAAATACAATGATACCAATGCTAAAACACTCTGTAATAAATACAATGGAAATGATAAACTAAGAACTGTCAGTTTGTGGAAGAGTAATTACACTTGTATAAACTAATTACAACTACAGACAAAGCTCTGAGGATGTGTAGAGCCAGGAACCTACTACATAGTGTAAAGTACAACAAATGGCACCTGTTAACTGTGTGGTGCTGTTTAAAAAGATGCTACATCGAGCTGGAGGATGGTGCTGTGACAGAGGAGCAAAGCTTGAACTTCCATCAATGCAGCCTTTTAAACACACCAGGAGTTCAGTACAGATGTAGTGTTGTAGAACAGGAATTTCAAAACAGCTTGTGTGCTCTGGACTTTAGTACAACACAAAAATTTGGTACAAATAAATCAGTTTAGGGAAACTGAACCTATGTGCAAAAAAAAAAAATTAGAATACATACTGTACAAAGCACCATTACAAAACTCTTTACACCGAGAAATTAAATCCTCTGAAACTCAACTGTGAACTGTATATTTGAAATCTACAAAAGTCACTGTTCATAATTAAACATTCATAATGAAAGCAACAGCATAAAACCATGATGTGACATCTCTCTAAAACAACTAAAGACTGGATAAAGTAAAACCCAGTAAGAGGGACACATTGAAATAAATATTCACATTAATCATGGGGTGAAAGTCCAAGGTTAAAATGCAATATTAGGCTTAGCACCTTTTTGAGGGGAAAGTAGCTGACGTGTTCTTGAAACAAAATTTTGGAAAGGAATCAACCCTTTACCACATTCAGATAAACATCTGACTGGGTGATGAGGTGCTTCAGTTAAAGCTCTCAGTCTTTATGAAGGTAGAAAGGCACTCAAAATACTTGGTATATTCATCCTCATCTGCCAGCTATGGAAAGTTCAATGCAGATTTGTCTAGTTTTGCCTGTAATATATTAAATTTACAATATCTGTGGCAGTTAAAAAAATTCTCAATGCCATACCAAAATGTTTAGTAGAAAAACAGATGTACTGCTAAGGCTGCTGTGAAAATGCATGTAATTATCAGCTGATCCTGGGTCTCTATTCTGCAGAGCTCATCTCCTTCCCCCACCAAAGATGCTTTTATGACAGCAAGGTGACAATAACTATGCATTCAATAAATCCACCAGCCAGATTTTCTGTTTGCCATGTTCCATGACCAGGGAGGCTGTGGCCACAGCCTGGGTAGGCACAAGGGGATTTAAAAAAAAAAAAAAAAATTTAAAAATCACTTCTGTCAGTCCTATGACACTGGGGTCTCTCCTGTTAACAGTCACAAGAGCCTGTCTGTAAAACCCCTGCCACAGTCACACACTCAGACCTGGCAGGGGCTGAGCACAGGCTTTGGGCAGGGCTGGAGCTGTGCCCCAGCCAGGGGCAGCACTTGAGTGACAAACTCTGGGCAAGAACCTGCTGTGCTCCCCAAACCTGCACAGGCACAGGGGCAGCTTCCCTGGTGACAGAGTGCCCTGAGCTGGGGAGCCCAGCACGGATGTGAAAGTACCAGCCCTTCATCAGGAGTGCAAGAGTCCACAGAAATGAAAAGAAAAGGCTCTGATGTATTTCAAACCTGGCTGTCACAGCAAGTCTCTTGGCTTTCTGTTTACATCCTCAGGAAGCCTCATCCTGCAGCCAGCCCAGAAAGGGAAGCAAAAGTCCCTTGGAAGAAACCTGCCAGCAACAGCTGTACAAAAAAAATAATCAGACAACGTGGATTTGGCTCACCAGATTCTCACCACAATTCTATAAAAGTAGTCCCTTGCCCACTATTCTAACACACAACATCCAGTAGTAGTTTACTCACTGTGGCAGTCAGACTTGGCAGAGCAACATTTAGTTCAAGCTCCACAAAACAGAAAATGAGCTGGTTCACTGTGACTTACACTGCAAACATGGAAAGCTGGTTACATCCCATCCCTTTAGCATTTTCAATACCTTTGACTTTCTTCTCATTGGCAGCAAAAAAATAGTGCAGATTTGATGATTAATTGTAACCTAAGTTACAAAAACACAACACTGATTGGAAAAAAACTGCTACTTATTCCAAATATTTTCATGGCTGAGAGGAGAATGGCAGCATCTCTGAAGCAGCCTGATTTACCCACACACCACAAGCAGATCAGACAGATCTCAACTGAGAATTTCCAAGCTAACACCAAAGTTCAGTTCCCTCTACTGGTAGTGCATTTTATTCCCCTTTGAAGAGATCAACCCATGCTATAAATCATATATATACTTACTTCCATCCCTACAATCAATAAATTATGTGCTCTTACAACCTCATTTCCAAAGCACATTACACATATTTCAGTCAATACACCATTTTTCCTTAGTTGTAACTTAAACCCACGTGTCATGAGCAGCTGGACAAAGATTACAACGTGTTTTACCTGATAAATCTTTAGGATCAACAAATATAGAATATGATTTGGCTGCATTCAAACAGACTTTGGTTGACTGGACAGGATGGATTCTGGAACAAACTGCTGACAGGCTTCTGCTGGCAAAGCCCATCAGTGCTTCAACAGCTGCAAAATGCAGTGTTTCAATTGAAGGTCAAAAGCAACAAAAAATACTCTTGACAGACTTGTTAGAAAAATGCTGTTTAAAAAAAAAAAAATCAAAACATCTACTGTTCATTAAGAAAAGGTTATTCCACGTGTAAACACAAGGACTGTACCAAATAGTCTGTGTCACTCACTAGAAATTCTGCTGGAGGAATCTGACAAGTGATATAAATAGGACCCCAAAACATAATATTCGGAATTCCTGCTTGAAAAATATAAAAAAAGCCCCTGTGGCAACATTTACCTGGAATTTACATTGCAGAATATAATGGTTTACTATAAGAAAATGCAGTTAACATGTAAGTGGCTTTCATTAAAAAGATTAATGATTCTTTCAGCCAATTTTATGCAAAGTTAGAATAATCCAAAATATTTTTTTCCAAAAATAGCAGGTATAGATGCTGTTCAGTATCATACATTTAAAACAGGCTGAAACGTGACTTGTACCGACTGCTGAAGTTGTGTCTTGGTATCTGAGAATAGAAATCAGGTAGGCAAATATAATAGATTACCTCTTACAAAAATAGTAGTAGTCTTTAAGTATAGAATACTGCTTAACTGTTGAAATGTAGGAAAAGTCAGCATTCTGTATGTTCAAGATATTAGTTTTTAATAGCAGCTGAATGATCCTATGGCAGAACCACAGAACCTATTTTCTTGAAATAAAAAAATTTTAAAAATTAAAAAAAAAAAAAATCCAAAAGTTGTCCTTTCCCTCCCAGTGTCCTAGTGTAAAAAAGGGAAAGTTTCCTGTATTTCAAGCATTTCTTGAGTCTTGGCTGAGGGAAGGAAGGGCTTTCTGGCTGACAGGAGTATAAATAGAGTGTGGGAGAGGCTGGGAGGGTCATTCCACAGCAAAGCCACAGGTCTCCTCGATGGCCGTGAGCAGCTTCTCGTAGAGCTTCTCGTAGCTCTCGTAGGCGGGAATGTCGATCCTGTTGAAGCTGGGGGGGGAAGCACAGAGGTGTCAGCTCTCCACCCATCACTGCCAGCCCTGGCACACCCCACCGAGCTGCACGGCTTAAGGAGGCCACAAAGCTCCATTAAACAAAAGCCATCTCCAGTTTTCACACCTCTGCTGCTCCCTCAGGGACAGCTTTGATTATGGCATAAAAGACAAAATAAATAAGACTGCTCCCAATACTCTGACAGCAGGTTGGTCTTTAAGCTACAGATCACAACAGAGAACTGAAAAACTCTTACCAGGTATGAGCTTTCGGCAAATTATTAGTGCTGGCATCAATCTGGTGTATTGTGAAGAGTCGAGGGCCTGCAGCACCTGAAAACCCAGAGGAGATCTCTACTACTGTGTGCAATAACATGAAATGTCTTTGTTGCACTGCAGCAACAAGAGAGCAACTAAAATACAAAGAGAAGCTCTGCACCAAGAAAGATGAAATCATAAACAGGCAGGAAAAAACTGCAAAGTCCCAGTGGCTGTGGGACAGGCTCCCTGCCCACTCAGACAGCCCTGCAGTTACTTAAACCATGGAAAGGTAAGGGAAAAAAAGCACTGACAAGGAAAAATAAATCATCTCTTTCACACTGTACTGCATAATTCTAAGTTTTTAATATTCTTCTCTCATCCCTCCTATCCAACAAAACTTCCACAACTCTACCTCTCTCTGTTTTATAACAGGTCTTG